GATCAAAATGCCCCCAACCGGATTCCATAGCTCCTTCCCCAGATACCGGTACCACAAATTTGGCAAACCGGGCAAAGGGGGATAGCCGCGTTCCATGGGTGTCTTTGCCAATTGAAGACCACCCATCCAGCCCTGAGGGCAGAGTTGCTTGAGCACATTATTATGCGTGACCAGCACTCTGGAGACCTTGGAGGCAGAACGCACCAGCCTCCTAGACCAGGCGACATTTTTACTGGTGGGTCACCGCACATCTAGCATGCGACACCCCCTAGTGTCGCCTGGCTCTCTTGGCCAGGGCCACTACCGTGCTACGGGACGCGGCCCTAGACGCACGTGTTGTTGCCGACAAGCTGAGCCGGGGTATGCCCCCCACCTCAGTGATGTAGACTGGACATCCTCCACCCTCTTTGTTCAGGGAATGGTGGGTACAGTCTCGGAGCTTCGGAGTGCAATGAACCAGAGGGTTCAGATCGAATCCGCTAGCCAGTTGGTCCTGCTATGGGCAAACGGAGGGCACCCCAAGCACAGAAAACACAACGCCCTAGGGCGTCGTCTGCTAGCCAGAGTCGGCCAGGAGGCAAGCGCTTATACCCTTCCATGGGAGAGGAGGGTAGTGGCGCGCCCCCAGGGAGGTAAGAGCCAGGTGGTGGCTCCTCCCCCTCCCTGAGAGGACGTCTACCCGGCAGCAGGGGAGGCATGTTTGACGCTCACCTCTGCAACGGGGGGGGGGGGGGACAGCCACGTGTTCGGTGAATGGCCAGGTCACAAATTAGTGACTACTTCAGGCCTTGGGGAACTCGCCTCATATACGCCCCATATCCCTGTCGTACACAGATTGCGCCGGTGTAGTCAGGTTTGGAGACGGTGGATGACCGATCCCTGGACCTTTCCAGGTGGTGACATCCGTTTACGAGATACCGCTGAAATCTCCATTTCCCCCCTTCAGTGCCCCCCCCCCCCTGTTGGGCACCAGGGGACTCCCGCAAGGCAGAGGCAATCAGGCAGGAAGTTGCAGTTTGCTGGGAAAAGGTGACATACACAGGGTAGATCAGCCGGCACTAAGTCCAGGCTTCTACCCAAATGTGTTCGTAGTACCAAATCTACAAGTGGCAGGCATCCATTTTTGGACCTCGGCAGACTGAATCAGTACGTGCTCCTCGATCGGTTCCACATGGAGACACCATTCAGGGTACTTCTCTCCATCCACCGTTTTGACGGGCTAGCCCCGCTAGACTTAAGCGGGGCCTACCTGCACGTACCGATGCACCCAGTGAGTTGCCATCTCCTTTGAATCGCCCAGCTGGG